TGCCGTAATTTGGATAGCTCTTAGGGGATTATGCTAAGAGAAAGGCCAATCTCAGAAGGTTGCATATTGTGTGGTTCCATTCTTGAAATGACAAAATTAGAGAGATGGAGAAGAGATTAGTGGTTGCCAGAGGTTAGGGAGGCCCCCCCCGGAACTTGGTGGGTAGGGTTATAAAGGCCAATACAAGGGTTCCTTGTGATCATGGAACTGGTGAAGGCAACGCTAACCAATATATGTGATAAAAATTGCATAGAACTAAATATACACACAGATAAATGAACAGAAGTAAAAACAGGAAATCTGAACAGGATCAGTGGATTATACTAATCCTGGTTGTGATACTGTACGATAGTTGTGAAAGATGCTACCATTGGAGAAAACTAGTCAAAGGGTACACAAGATCTCTCTGTATTATTTCTTACAACTGCATGTGAATCTATAATTTCTCAAAATTAACAATTCAATTAAAAATATAATAATTTCAGGGGCACCTGGGTGGCTCAGTCGATTAAGCAACTGACTCTTGATTTCAGCTCAGGTCGTGATCTCAGGGTTGCGAGATCAGGACTGTGAGATCATCAGGTTGTGATCAAGCCATGGTGGGCTCCATGCTCAGCAGGGAGTCTGCTTGTCCCTCTCCCTCTGTTCTTCCCCCTGCTTGCACTCTATCTCTAAAATAAAAAAATAAAATCTTTTAAAAAATATACAATAATTACAGCTATAGATATCAGCCTTCTGATCCCAAGTGTTAATATGCATAGGATTTCACTAATATCAACTAAATATATATGTAAACGTATTGGGACTTTGATTTTAAAAATTCCTAGACAGAAAACTGAGCAGAATGGTATTTTAAAATGTTAAAAAATATTTTCTTAAAAAATATTCCTAAGTAATAACTAGGTAGAAATTTTAAGTGCATGATCTATTTATTCATTAGAAGGCATTCTACCATCACCCAATTTCAAAATTATTAAAAAACAAATTGCTAGTAATTTAATCCTTCTTTTATGCAGGTAACAATAATAAAAAAGATGCCACTATCTCTTTTACGAGATTTTCTTTAGATAACCCATATATTGAAAATTCAGAAAAATAATTACTTCCATGGTCAATGTTACAATGAAAAAATGCTTTCCTTTATATGAAAAGCTACTACAGTTTGCCAATCGGCTAGGAAACTCAAAATTGGGCTTTGGCTTAATGCAACAGTAGGTTCAAATCTGATCATAGCCCAACTGGTCACTTAAAGTATATTGCCCCGTTAATGAAGATGCTGTGATTCTAAAGGCAGAAATAAATAATAAATAAACAAGTAAATAAATAAATAAGTAGTACTATATCCAACTAAAAAGCTTCTGCACAGCTGAATAAATCATCAACAAAATAAAAAGAAAACCTATGGAATAGAAAAAATAATGTTCACAAACCATACATCTGATAAGGAATTAATACCCAAAACATATAAAGAACTCATACAACTCAAAACAAAAAACCACAAATAATCCAAATGGGCACAGGAGCTAAATAGACCTTTCTCCAAAGAAGATATATAAAAGGCCAACAAGGTACATGAAAAGATGCTCAACATCACCACTCATTAGGAAGATGCAAATTAAAACTACAATGAGATATCACCTCACACCTGTTAAGGGTCACCATCATCAAAAAGAGACAACAAATGCTGGAAAGATGTGGAGAAAAGGGAATCCTTGTGCACCATTGGTGGCAATGTAAATTCATGCAGCCACTATGGAAAGCAATATGGAGGAGCCTTAAAAAATTAATAGAACTATCATATGATACGGCAATTCCACTTCTGAGGATATATCCAAAAGAATCAAAAACGCTAACCTGAAAACACATCTGCACCCCCATGTTCCTAACAGCATTATTTATAATAACCAAGACATGGAAGCGACCTAAGTGGATAAAAAAGTTGTGGTATGTATATACGATGGAATATTATTCAGCCATAAAAAATGAGGAGATCGTTCCATTTGTAACAACATGGATGGACCTTGAAGGCATTATGCTAAGTTAAATTAGTCAGAAAAAGTCAAATACTGTATGATCTCACTTACATGTGGGAATCTAAATAAACAAAAAACAAACCCAAACTCATAGCAAAAGAGATCAAACTTGTGGTTATCAAAGGCAGAGGGTGGGGTGGTGGCGAAACTGGAGGAAGGTGGCCAAGAGGTACAGACTTCCAACTATAAGTTAAATAAGTACTAGGGATGTAAGGTACAACACAATGACTATTGCTGACCAGCTGTAGGATACACAGGAAGCTGCTAAGAGAGTAAATCCTAAGAGTTTTCACAAGAAAAAAAATTTTTCCCCTTTTTCTTCTTTCATTTCTTTTTATTATGTCTATAGAAGATATATGTTAGCTGAACCTACTGTGGCAATCATTTCACAATAAATGTAAATCAAACCATCATGCTGTATGCCTTAAACTGATACAGTGATGTGTATCAATTATTTCTCAATAAAATCAGGGGAAAAATGTTGGGATCTTTAAGTGTTCAATCTTCCATATCCTCTCTCTTCTTAGAGCAATTTCATGGACTCTTTGTGTCTTCAATTACTATCTCCATGTTGTTTTCTTCTACCTCTCAGTTTATGGTGACTGTATCTCCTAGGCACCCAAGCTAGAAATCTGGACATCTTTCTGGACCCTTCCTCAGCCCACTTCTCTCCACCCTCACTGGTACTACTGCAGTACACCACTTCTACCCCAGACAACCAACAGATTTCTTGCTAAATGGTTGTTTCTTAGCCCACCCTACACCCACTTTCTTCTGAAAAACCTCTTCACTCTCTTTAGGATAAAGTCCAACCCCCTGGACACTGCTTACCAAGTCCTTCAAGATCTGCTTCTTGGAATTCCCTCATCAATCTGCCCCACAAACTAAGCTACAGCCTTTCTCTAAAGTCCTCAGAAACTGTGCACTTTAAGGGTTCCAAAGCTTTGCTTGGCATTCTTTCTAAGCCACATTCAACCTTCTCCCTCCCACTCTCAACCTTTAATTTGAAAACCTGCAGTCCCAGGGAAGCCTTTTACATATCCAACTCAGGATTAGGGGGCCCTGCCAAGTGCTCCTTCAGCCTATACTACAGTATTTATCTCACTGCATTGTCTATAATTATTTTCTAGTTTGGTTTCCCCACACTTTGACTATGAGCTTCCCTGGGCAGGATTGAGTTGTTTGCTTATATAGGTCAATAGGTAGCTCATGAGGAAAGCACCAAAACATGTATTCTTGAATGAGTGATAGTGTAAAAGAAAACATCAGAGGGCAAATTGAAAGTGTCTGCAGTGACCCCCATCTGCCACACAACATCTTAACATATCTCATTACATAAAAGCAATTGATACATCAAATTACTTCCTTTACATAATTGAGTAGGCCATTCCATGTGGACATTGGTGGTAGCCAAATGTCTGGTGTATTGGATGACTCAGTTTAAAATAATGGCAGCGCTTTCTGGATTACTATAACAGCCTTCCACATTTGCAGTAACCCTGCTCCAGCTAGTCTTTTCCATTGAGCAGCCGGCCAGTGATCTTTTCAAAACATAAATACGATATTGTAACTTCTCTACCATGGCTTACAAGGTCCTGCAAAGGTCTGCCACCTGTCCCAACATCCCCAATCTTAATACCAATCATTCTCCCTCTTACTGACTCTGCTTGATACGCTGGTCTACTTTCTTGCAGTTTCTGTTAAACAGCAAAGGTTATTCCAGCATCAGAGGCTTTGCACTGTTGATTCTACCTGCTTGCAAAATTCTTCCCTCCTCCTCCCCTCCCCCCATACCCCAGATCTCTCCTTGGTTGGTTCCTCCTCATTCACATCGCTGCTCAAATGTCACTTCCTCAGAGACCTTTCCTGACTACCTATCTAAAACAGCCAACACGTCCTCGTCAAGCTCGATCCTCTTATTCTCCTTGACTTTCTTTATATAACCTAACCCTACGTGATGATTTTATCTGTCTCCCCTGTTAAAGCGAAAGCTCCACGAGGACAAGTGATTGCATCTACCTTGTTCACTGTTGTCTCCCTAACGGCTAGAACAGTGCCCGGCCAATAAAACACTTGCTAAATGAATACACGCACTCAATACGCTTGTCCATCTCGCGTATTTTCCATTCTCCTTTCCCCCTCATTGTCAGAAATCCGTGAGGGTCGCTGTCCTTGCAGGAAAGCTCTTGAAGCGTAACCGCCCAAAAAGAGTCCTCTTTTCCTCACCGGGAGGGGCAAGCCCAACCTGGTAGCAGCTAATGGGGCCTCAGGGACCGAAAGATGAGCCACGGACCCGGCACCCTCGTCTTAAGAGCGCTGAGGAGCTGCGGCACTTGGCGTCCCTTTCCTCGCTTCCTGGGGACTGCCGCCTCCCCAACCTTAGACCCCTAGACTAGCCTCTCAGTCGGCCGCACACATGCCTTCCCCGCCGCCGAGCTCCGCTGCCACTCCTAGTTACCTGCCGGAGATCTGCCTTGGGAGACTCAGCCTTCTCACCGCCATTCGAAAGAACAGGAGCACCTTCCGGGCCACCGTAGTTCGCGGAAAGCACACGCTGATCTCTCCTTCCGCATGCGCAGAGATCCCGTTCGGCGTACAGTGTCTCTTAGCAACCGCATTGAGTCCCTCCGCCAGGGGCGGAGCATCGGAAGCCACAGGGGGGAAGCCGAGGGGGAAGTGAGTGAGACCAATCGGAGACGAGTCCCAACCTCGACCGGCACGCCTCCTCTAACTGTCGCGAATGCGCAGACGGCTTTACGGCAGGCGAGGGGTGGGGGCTGCTGGGGGTAAGGAGGAGAGAAGGAAGCAACCAACCAACCAAGTCGCCCCCACCCCCCACCCCCACCCACCCCGGACCTGGTTTACGGCTCCGGGCTCAGGCTCCGATGCGGCCGCTGATTGGCTGCTGAAGGCTTGGTCCCATCCCAGTGACCCCAAAGTGCTGGAGGGAGGGGGCGGGGGTGGCCCAGTGCAAAGTGCATCCCGAAAACCCCCTGCCTGGAGCCCCCGCGGCTGGCACTTCGGATCCTGTATGACCCGGGACCTCGCTGCCCCGAGACCTGCTGTGTGCCCCCGTAGCCGGGAGCCTCCGGCCCGGAGCGCGGCAGCCCCTGCTCCGAGCCCTCAGACCAGGGCTGCCCCCCCACTCGAGCCGGGACTTCCTCCCTGCACCCCTGCCCCGAGGCTGCCCAGCGGTCAGGACTGTCGCCCCAATTCTGCTCGACTGTCCGGATGCTCGCTGGGCTGGGGCCGTGAGGCACCGAGAAGGATCAGGAACACCCGTGCCCGGCCCTGCCTGGAGTGTTTGTTCAATGGAGAAGTTGGTGAGTGTGGAGAAGGCTGAAAGGAGGAAGAGAAGCAGCAGCTGAGGAGACAGGTAAAGTCAGTTACCTACCCCCAGGGAAAGGGGGCTGGCTGGGAGAGAGAATCACTGCTTCTTCCTGTCTGCCCTTACCACTCTTCTTTTGCTACCCCTTCCTCAGAGCCCCCTCCTCCTAGCCCCTGGGTCACTGCACCACTCACTGGTTTCTGCTTTCCAGGTTTGAGCTGGCTAGAGGAGACGAGAGAGCAGGGAGGGGTCAAGCCACCCACCAGAGAAGCAGGAGAGAGCCTCTGACCAGCATCCTCTATAAAGGTAATGAGCCAGACCTCCCCTCCCCCATTGTTTATTCCTGGCCCCTATCTCATTAAGCATTGCTTTATTTTCAGCGTAGTTACCTGGAACTGTAACTCTTTCCTGGTACCCAGTTTCCCAGCAAAACCAAACTGTGCCTGATCCTTAAGATTTTAATTAATAACTTCTTTATCTCAGAAATGTATTTTCCCCTTTCTCTCTGTACGTGGTGTTTCCGTTTTCTGCATTATCTTTCCGTACACTGTACCATTTACCCTGCTCTGAGACTTTGAGACCTTTTTGTAGCTCCCCCCCCCACCTTACTCTCATAGGAATTCCTCAATTCCTTGTTAATTGCTTGTTAATTCTGAATGACTGTTTTTTAATTAAACCACAATTTTCTGTTTTCCCCTTATGTTTTCCTATCACCTTTCCTCTCTCTCTATCAGAAAATCTTTTGAGTTAACTGACGAGGGTTTGGTAGAGGAAGGTACAGTAATGGCTGAAATTTGTGAGTTTTGGAGAATAATGTGACTTTTTTCTAGTGAAAAGTGAATCTGTGTAGCTGGATAGTGTGGATAGTTTGAAAGCAGTATTTGCCCCTGACGCACTTGAATATAATTAACTCATGTGGCTCTTATGTGTTATTGTGTGACAGATGTGGCTGGATTTTGAAACTGTTTTAAAGATAAGTTATATTTGTTACACCTTTGATTTTCTAGAAGAACTTATAAAACTTTATACAATATTACATTAATCATTTGGCACTAAGAGTTTGCAAACACAGGAATGTTTTGGTGTGTTTAGAATCTAGGGTTTTATTTTTGCATTTTATTTTTCATAGATAAGACTTTTCATTTCAAAACCCTTACAGATAATTTGTTAGATTGAAATTTAAGTATTTCATTCATATCACATTTCTGCCGCTGTATTTTGTTGCTGCCTCTGAAAATGCACTAAAGGTAAGTTTAGAACATTCATGTAGTTCCTAAAGAGGGAATATGATCACGGAAATTATATAAGAGTTAATTCAGAAGTTAGTCAAGTGAATGACTTCTCTGCCATCCAGTAATAGGGGTATAAAGTGACTGGGTAATCTCAGAGTTATTTTAATATCTCAGATTGTTTAGGGAATTTCAGGTACAAAGAAGTACTTAAAATAGCAGAAGTTGTTAGGAAATTTTTGATTTACTCTGTTCCACTGGACTTTCTGCCTTCTACAAAAATAAATTAATGCCTTTCCTGATTCTTTTAATTGCGAAGACATTGCTAAAGATACTTTTAAGTGCTTTGAGGGTTTGCGTTTTCTTGAGACCTGGAACTGGACACCAAAGGGAGAGTGTATGCTACTGAATGAGACTGAAAATCAGTATCTAGCAGTGACTGTTCCCATGGTGAATATTTAGGGCAGCCTTTATATAGGGTCCACTTCATTTCAGTAAAAGCTAGGGAGAAGTCTATCAAGTTAAAGGCAATTTTCTTTATTTAAATATGCAAATCACCAGAGAGATGCCTAGTGATGACTTTAGGAATTTTTTTTTAAATGCTAACATATTTGAAGTACGTTTTTAATGAATTATGTATTTTCTATTCAGGCCTTCTCACTTAAATATTTTTTCTACTTTAGATATAACTCTAGCATGTTTTCATTTGCAAGGGGTGTTATCACCTGAGATGGTAAGAGAGTGGGTCTGTGACAAGTCAAGCATGGAAGATACAGGAAGGACCCTGCTTTCTCCTGGTTGCCAGCCAGATCATTCTCATTGCTTAAATAATATTTCATTGATCCCCTCTTTGCTTTTAACAGTTCTTCTAGGATTAGGGAATATATATATGTATATGTATATGTATAAACTTGTTGGCATCGGTTCCAGATATTAGCATGACTGAGAGTGTTTGGTCTAGGTTATGCTGAACATTTAAAATGTTTAATTTGGGTAATTATTTACTAACATGGACAGTTAGATAGTTTATATTTTTCAACTGGTAGTTAACTTTGTGTTAATTCTCTTGCCAGGTACATGGGTTTTTACAGAAAAAAAAAAAAAAGGTAAAGATCCTGATTTATTTGATAACCAAATACAGATTTGTAGTCACATAGGGAGAATAACTGATTTTAACTGAAGATCTTCAGTGATGCATTTTGAGGATGCTGTGGCTTCATAGTTTTGTTTTTATACCTGAAGTGATACAATTCACAGTTGCTTAATATTATGTTATATATAGTATCTATTTTCTTCACATTTAACTTTGGTAACATAGAAATTCATATGATTTGAAAAAAGTCTAAAGTCAGATAAAGTTTATATAAGCATACCTAATATCTGACTTACAGCCTTTCATTTCATTCCCAACTGAAGACGCTCCCTAAGTAGAGAAAGATTGTCTCCTTTCTTGCAGACTTACTCAGTACTAACTTGAGGCTGCTGAGATGATCATGCCAGATGTGAGTTACTAAGATAATATTGACAAGACCTCCTCCTTTACAATACTTGTGATTTAAGCCTTGAATTGAGCCTGGATTAAGTGAGTTATACAATGTCCTCTCTTGCCTCCTCCACAATCCATGAAAATGGTTTTTCTATTGGAAAGGATGAGAATTGTAGATAAGTCGTGCATGATAATACATCCTTGTGTTACACGGAGGCCCAGCAATTTGGAGGAAATATGAATGCCCTTACTTGTTCTAGAACATAAATACCATGCTAACTATGTGGAGTGATACTAAAAAACACTTCTACTTTACTTTCCAGGCTCTTGATCATACAAATAGTGCTGGTCAGTATAGACCTCAGCCGTGTGGCACTCTTTGGGCCTTGTGTTCCTGCAGCCATCTAGGACCCTTGAGCCAGTGGTATTTTTTTTTTTTCTTCAGAGCCACTATCCTTGGAGTTGCTGATTTAATTTTCATACCAGCCTGTATCTCTGTTTGCTCTACAAAGAAATGCTTATTTCCTTTTTTGAGTAGCAAGCTGTTATCTTGTTTCTAGTTTGTGTGAAATCTGAAAGCACGGTTCTAATTTGTATCACTTAATCCAAAAATGTATGGACTTTTAGTGAAAATAATATGCAAAAAGCCATTAGTGACTAATCATTTATTCCAAAGGAAACTGGGGACGTGGCAGATCTGGTGAAAGTTTTATACAATTTTAGACAGGTCTTAAATATATTTTGTTTTATAGTTATTTTACGCTTCACTCTGTTCTGTGAATATAGACTTCTTTTAATTATGTGAAGCAAGAAATTTGGTTTCAACTTAATGCAGTTCACTTGGCATCTTTATGGAATTCAGTGGTAACATTTTAATTTCCTAAATTTATAGTTTCTAGTATGATCAACAGTGTAAAAGCTCAGAGTCCTGGATGGTTTTCTTTTGACACCATGTAGAATAGAAAAAGATGGATTCGTAAAATTTAAACACACTATTCAACACACTATCCCATTATCAACACACATTCCCCAAACAATCCCAACACACATTCCCCAAACAATCCCAACACACATTCCCCAAAATGATATACATTGGGGAAGTGCCTCATTTTGATATGTAATTCTGAAGTCTTCCTTGTTTGTATGTTTTTTTCTCTTTTCTGACTGAAACCTGAATTGGAATTTCTAAGATTGCACCCTCCGAGTTTTAGTCATTCTGAGTCATTAATTTAAAACAACTCACATTTACATGTGTCTCTTTAGAAAATTGCCTCTGTGGCCATATTCTTTTATTTTATAGGTGACTTCCAGGAGCTCAGATTTTCGAACTTCCCCTTGAGGGGAAATAGACTTTTTTCCAATCTCATCTCTGGACTTCCTCTGTGATTCTTTTTTTTTTTTTTTTAAGGATTTTATTTATTTATTTGACAGAAAGACAGCAAGAGAGGGAACACAAGCAGGGGGAGTGGGAGAGGGAGAAGCAGGCTTCCCACTGAGCAGGGAGTCCCATGCAGGGCTCGATCCCAGGGGGATCATGACCTGAGCCTAAGGCAGACGCTTAACAACTGAGCCACCCAGGTGCCCTCCTCTGTGATTTTTAATAGACACCTTTAGCACTGGATGGTGTATTTCCTTTTTCAGTTCAGTATTTTTAAAAAAATTTATTCATGTGTGGATAGCTAAATTCTGTTAAGTGCAAACTCGCATAACACCAAGATAAAATTTATTACTTGTCTCGTGCCTTGGACTATTATAGTGGATAGTTTGGTAGTAAGTCATTGCCCTTCATAACTTAAGGGATACAGCTGACAGAAATTATGTTTGCATGGTCCGTGTGTCTGTTTTTTCCGGGGAAGATTGAGGCATGTGAAGTGTGCTTTTTTGGTTTAAACCTATGGTTATTATTTATAGCGCTTAGTATTGTCAGAAAAGAGAAAAATGATCCTAATATTTCTAGGTGTATTTGATTTAAGTATGCAGAACTTTTTTTTTTAAGATTTTATTTATTTGAGAGAAAGCAAGAGCGGAAGAGAGAGAACATAGGCGGAAAGAGGGGCAGAGGGAGAGGGAGATGCAGACTCCCTGCAGAGCAGGGAGCCTGACATGGGGCTCGATCCCGGGACCCCGGGATCATGACCTGAGCTGAAGGCAGACGCTTAACCGACTGAGCCACCCAGGCGCCCCGAGAACTTTCTATTAAAGTTCTACCAAGAGGTAACACCAGTGGCCAAGGCTCAGCAGTGTGCCAAACACATGTCAGGCACTCAGTGGGCTTTCGTTTGTCTGACTGAAGGAGTCCATACAGCATTATCACAAGTTACTGTGGTTCGTGCACCTTTCTTGTTGAGAGAAATAGTCACTTCATCTTTTAACACAGGCTTTTCTTGATATTATTAATAAATTAATACCATTTCATAAATTCTCCACCCCCACCTTGCATGTCCTCCTCCACACATAGCCCCTCTGCCTCCATGGAAGTGACCATGGGTAGATGGAAGACAGTAAGAACAAGGATTCTTGAAGGCCTGAAGCCATGCAGGGCCATCTCCACTTCTCTTGGGAGGCAGGGTACCAAGGACACCCTTGGAAATAAGGCATCCAGTGGTGTTGGTTTTTGAAATGTAGATGTAGCTCATGTAGAACATAATCACGAGTTCTTTTGTGGAAAATGCTGGAGGCTCATCATTGGAGACCTCAATTTGCTTTTTTTAAACAGATTTTTTATTTTAGTATAGTTTTGGATTTAGAGAAAAATGTGCACAGATAGTACAAAATGTCCACATAGTCCACACCCAGTTTCTGGTAATATCTTCTATTAATAGATGCATTTGTCACAGTTAATGAACCAACAGTGAGCATTATAATTAATTAAAATCCAAATCATATTCAGATTTCCTTAGCTTTTACCTAATACCTTTTTTCTGTTCCAGGGTCTCATCTAGGACACCACATTACATTTAGTCATCTTGTCTCCTTAAGCTCTTTTTGGCCGTGACAGTTTCTCAGACTTCCTTGTTTTTGATGGCCTTGACATTTTGAGGAGTACTGGTCAGGTATTTTGTAGAATGCCCGTCATTTGGAATTTGGTATTTTCTCTCATGATTAGACTGAGGTTATGGGCTTTGGAGACAAAGATCACCAGGGTAAATTGCCATTCTCATCATATCATACTAATAACATGACTTGGCACTGCTGCTGTTAACTGTGATCACTGGGCTGAAACAGTATTTTCCAGGTTTCTCACCATAAAGTTGCTCTTTCCCTCCCTCTCCATGCTATCCTCATTGGAAGGAAGTCGCTATGCATGGCCCATACTAAAGGAGAGGTGAGTTATGCTCTACCTCCTTGAGGAGGGAGAATCTACACAACTCTTTGGAATTATGCACAGGAGATTTTGTTTCTCCTCCCCTCCTTTATTCATTTATTCAACCAGTGATAGCAACACGGGCATATAGATATTCTGTACTTTGGGTTAGAATCCAGTAGTACTTGAATTATCTTGTTCAAATTTTTGCATCTTGGCTACTGAGAGCTCTAGTTGTTGGCTCCTGTGTTCTTCTGACATACCCCCATCAGTGCATTTTTCTTTGAGCACTTCCTTTTTGGCACAGTGAGATGCTCCGGGTTCATCTTGTATATTTCTTTCCTTGCCCTGCTCTCAGAATTGGGCATTTTTGTAAGGATAGTTCTGCATTTTTTGTAGCTTGCTTTGTAGGAGTTGTTCTGATCATGTCTCATTCATTTTTTTTTTTTTAGAAATGATAGGCAGTTTTAAGTCAGATATTATTTCCAAGTGCATCTTGGCCAACTCCTTGGCCTTCCTTGAAGAAGTTTGACAAGGGAAGAAAAGGTATGGAAAAAGGAAAGGGTCCAAGTGGACTCTCCTGATTTGGATGGGTTGGAAATTCTGGTGTGCACCCAGAAGCATCTGTGACTGCCAGTCTTCCCGAAAGCATGTCAGGTTGCCAGGTGGCCCGACCTTTCCTGTTTAAGTGACACAGGGCTTAGCACACCCACCCCATGGGGAAGGGGTGGCCGTTTTCCCAGTGAGTAATTCCTAGAGTGATTCTAGTGTAGTGTGTGGAAGTCACTTAGCATGTGCTTTTAACCTTAGTGGAATTCACAGACCTAGGATTTAATTTACATAGAGAAAGATCCTTTTTCTTAAAGTTGTAGAGAGAATTTTTTCAAAATTCATTTGGGGAAGCTGGCAAGAAATGTTGTTTTAATCTTTTACCTAGTTTGATGTACGCATAAAGGAATAACAATTTCAAAATGGTTAACATAATGCTTTTTGGGCATATGAAGTACCAGCATTTAAAGACATAATCTCCTTTTAGTTGTCATAGATTCCATTTTGGCCCTGGCCACCTACTGTATTGAATGAACACATGCTTTCATTTTTGTCCTGTTTAGAAAGAGCAAGTGCCTACGGTGTCAGTTAAAAAGGAATTCAGATGAAGCAAGTCTGCTCTATTGTGAATAGACCAAAAAATGAAAGGAACCTGTGTTTGTATCAAATTACAAATGTGTGATTTTTTTTTTATTATCTTTATTCTTTTTCAAAAAACTGTCCTTTTAGGGGAAAAAAAAATTCCTGAAAATAAACTGTATTCTATACCAGTGTGGATATTAGCGTAGGTACCATGATGATTCTCTCTAAGAATTGATCTGAGTTCTTTCTCTGCTCTGTAAGTTTATCATAAAGTGCTAAAATTTAAGCTCGTCAAAAGGTAGACTGTGCGGAAGCTCTGATTCTTTATTATTGTTAGGAATCTTCCCATAATTGGTATTTGTTTTTAGGTTAAAGCTCATTCACGCTGCAGTCTGGACACACTCTGAGCCGCCTCCTCACGATGCCGTATGTGCACAATGATTATTAGGCAATCCACGTATCAGGAAAAGGGACATTCTTCCATAAGGTAAGTGACTGAGGGTCATTGGTCGTCTGTGCAGTTCTCTTCCTTCAAATCAGCTAATGTATACTAAACACAACTCTTGCTAAAAGAAAATCCAGGTTGGCTTTGATATTGATTGGATCCTGCATAGTAGACCTCATTTAAGTGCCAAGATAATTGTTTCATTTAAAAAAAAAAATCTGAAGCTGATTGTTTTAAGCACATAGTAATAATTATTAATTTCTTCTAATGGTCAACATCTTCTCTTATAACTCTAAAAATAAGCAAAAACCTATTCCAAAAGGATTCTCAGTTTGAAAATTTCTAAGATCAGAGACTTAATTTTATAGTGTTGATTGAAAAAGTAGTCAAGTGAAGAGATAAGGGGGAAATCATGTTTATTAAGAAAACAAATCATCAGGAAACTTCTCAATTTAAATTATGTTACTTAATAGTAATACGTAAGAGTTTAAAATAACCATTTTCAACGTACAAAACAACATAAGATATTTGATTTTACTCCTAAGTTAGGACGATTTGACCTAGGTCAGGCTTAGGTTGACCTTTGTACGATCTATAACGAGAAGTTTTACAAGATAAATTATTATTGGTAACAAGATTATCCCAAGATGTCTAACCTACATAGGAGACCAAAATGTCTTTAAAGGACTTTATCACATAATTTTTTATTTTTAGAAATGGAAGCCTACTAATTAGGAGATGAGTCTAATCTATTCCTTAAAATTAGCCCAGATGGAATGGCTTCTTAGAAGCATGTTAGTTTAAGCTTCTGTAAGCTTCTGTAAAGCTTAAAAATGCATTGCAAAAGTTTTTGCATACACATGTGTAAGATGCCACTTTTCACCAATTCAATTTGGACTTTTCTTCTTCACAGGAAGGAGATCTCATTTTATATTGAGTCTGAGTGCACACCTCTTTTGTGACCTTTTAGAGAGTGCAGAACTTCAATATACTCCTTTTGCTTTAAAATGATTTTTTTCATGTGGTGAATTAACAGGTTGTTTCAGTTCTTAACAGTGTTTAAATATTTTGTGTGATCTTGGTACTCTATGCTTATAGTCAAACTTCTGGAAAATTGAAATTAGAAAAGTGGAAAAGATGTGGCAGAAAAAGGGGTGGTTAATAACAAAGTAGGGAGGACAGAAAGAGAAAAAGAAATAAACAAAAGGAAAATACATGTTGTCTTTGCATTTTACTTTAATTGACCCCACCCACTTCCCCTTCCCCTCCCTCCCCAAACCTTTCATCCTTTGGGGCTAAAAATAAAATACTGTTGAAATACTTTTAGGGGACTCACCTAAAGTTTTTTACTTTTTTTTCTTTAACTGCTTCTCATAGTTAAAGGTCTGTAGTCTTCATAGTCTATGAATCGTCTGCTTGATACTCCATATTCACTCACTAATCTGTGATAGAATCCTTGAAATGGTTTATAACTGTGTGCATTAGGGAACTCCAACTCATCCAAATCTTCCTCTGCTGTCTCCCATTTTCTAGCTGCCCAGCATCATCTTCCATTATACCTGAAATAATGCTGCTAGGTTCATGGGATCTTTGCTTTGAGTTTTCAAAAGACTACAAAAGAACTGATCTGTTTCAGCAATTTAGAGCTTTATGCCTGGCTTTTTGTTTGAAATCTTTTATAATCTTAGGGAAATTTGGTCATAACAGGTGCATGTTAATTAGTTGTAGTAGGGTGAACTGTCATTACTAAGATTTACATGATTTAACGATGGAAAATTCTGTACTGTTTAGCAGACACACCATGAGGTGCCACGTATTCTAAATTTCATGTATTCTGCTTCCCCTCAAAGGCTGTTCCCTGTGACCTAATGAATCCTTTGTAAAAAGTGGACTCAGCTAGGATGTTACACCACCATTGTCGAAGGAACCCTGAACTTCAGGAAGAATTGCAGATTCAGGCTGCAGTGGCCGCTGGGGATGTTCACACAGTACGGAAGATGCTAGAACAAGGCTATTCTCCCAATGGCCGGGATGCTAATGGCTGGACCCTGCTTCATTTCTCTGCAGCAAGAGGGAAGGAAAGATGTGTTCGGGTATTTCTAGAACATGGAGGTGAGTTTGCCGGAAGCAAACCTTTTTTTGCCAAGGGGAAACTTAAATTCTATTTAGTTTAAAATATATGTGCCCATGTATATGAAACATTTAATGCTTCTCGTTGGTTAACACCCAACTTCTTATTCTCTCCTTTGTGAAGATTTGTTGGAATTATGCTGAGTTTTGTTCAAAATCAGATTGTTTAAAAGAGCAGTCTGGTGAATGTGCTTTTTTCCCCCTGTCACTGTAGTTTAAATGCAGCCAGGTTTTCCCAGCAACCCTTCATGTTGTCCAGTTGCTTTTGTTTCAGAAGCAGAAGTGGCTTTGGGACCCATAATTAGAGAGTTACACAAGTTTCCCCTTTGGTAATTGCTCGTGCAAACAGAGACCTAGCACAGGTCCCTTTAAATATCATGGCCTTAATAGTAGCCTATCTTTTGAATTTACCTCTTTTAAAAAAACTTTTGGATGATTTCTTTTACTGCTGTTTTAGAGCTCTTGCCTTTTCCAGAATTGTACATAGTTTCTGAAGACAGGTTACCTGAGGTCTCATTTTGTATAAATACACGCAATTGGAAACGACCTTTGACGTTTTGTGCTTTTGCTTCGAAAAACTGCCCATTCCCATAGTTAGTTTCCATAATTAACAATAACTAATAATTGCCCTAAAGTAGTTTACTTTTTTCCCAGTTGAATTTCTACTTACTTTCTTTTCCAGTAATGGGCTATATGTATTTTATCATTTGTACCCATTTGATCTTTGTAATGATGGCGTAAGCAGCATAGTTGGGACTCAAGTTGTACATGTGCCCTTCTGGGGCCTGAATTGCTCTTTGACAATCCGTTAGTTTCATTTTTAAGGTGTAGTGTGTTACAAGAGTAGTCAAACTTGTAAACCGCCTTGAAGTACAGAAAACTCTAGAAGCCCCAGGGCCCTGGTGAGGGCTGTGTGAATCATGTGAAGCTAGGAATATGAAGGCTATGAGCAGAAACTAATTGCAGGGCACTGCTAAGCCTGAGACTGAGTCTTCACACATCCCAGGGGCCCTGTGATAGGAACTGGATCCCGGAACAGTGGACTGTGGACAGGGCCCAGCCATTCGCTGTCCCGGGCTTCCTTTGTAGCCGCCCTTCAGCCCTCCTGTTCCTCTTGCTTCTACCTCATTTCACCTTAAACCTTGGAAAGCTCACTTCCAAAGTTAATGAAGGGAAAATGGAAGGGGAACAGGAGAAAGATTGGAAAAAACTGAAAGGTGGGGTGTAGGATCAGAACACTTAAAATTCTGGCAGTGCTTACCAAGATCAGAGTTTGCGGTTTTAATCCAACCTAGTCCTGTTACTTTCTGCTGCCACCAGCCTTGCTTTTAAAAATTAACTAAAAAAAAAAAAAAAGTGCAATTACTCAGGTAATATTGTCTCCTTAAATAAAACAATTTTCAGATAAATTACAAATAAAGCTAAAGACCCCTTTGCCCAACTCCCAGTCCTTTCTGCCTGTCCCCTAGGTAGGAGTTTGGGATCATTTCCTGACACTATTACTTGTACTCATAGAAAATATGTCATATTGTATTGTGTGTGGTTTTAGAACATAAATGATATCATGATCATGTTTTCCTACAGTTGTTTTTCACTCAACTATAGAACTTAAGTTTTTTTGTTTTTGTTTTTGTCTTTGTTTTTTAATATCAGGGGTTGGCAAACTTCTTCTGTAAAAGGCCAGATAGTAAATACTTTAGGCTTTGCAAACCCTACTGTCTCTGTCATAATTACTCAACTCTGCCTCTGTAGCATGAAAGCAGCCATAGATAATTTGGAAACGAAGGAGTGTGTCTGTGTGCCGATAAAACTTTATGAAAACCAGTGGTGGACCAAATTTGGCCTGTGGGCCTTAGTTTACTGAACCCTGTTTCCTCACTCACCCTCCCCTCTGTGTGGCTGTGGGGATGTGCACGGGTGTATATGTGTGTGTGTGTGTGTGTGTGTGTGCAGATATTTTTTAATAGCTTTTATTGAGGTAGAATTCCTGTGCCTTACAATTCACCCATTTAAAATGTGCATACAGTTCAGTGGCTTTTAGTATATTTATAGAGTTGGCCATCCATCACCACAAGTTATTTTAGAACATTTTCATTACCCCAAAAAAACCCTGTGCCTGTTTTATATTAATACATGTAGATTTACTCTGTTTTTTTTAGCTGCTAAATATAATATTTATTAGTATGGGCATACTATTATTTGTTTAAGTCATTCTTTTTTCTTTTGAGAATGGCAGGAGATTTTATTTGTTGAGAACGTAATATGTACATATATGTGGTTAAAAACCAAATGAAAGGTATTCTGGACTGTTCAACGAGGGGAAAATGCCTTTAGTGCCCGTCCCTTTCCCAGAGGCAGTCCCTCTTCCTGGTTTCTTTTGTGTCACTGCAGAGATAATCTGTGTACATAGGTGTACATAATTTTCCATCCTCCACCTTCTAGCCTGCTCCTTTTTTGTTAATAGTTTCTTCTGCATCTTGATTTTTTTCACAGAGCAGTTTAGCTGGGTGAGAGTTTCTTGTCACTGTATTGACATGTTCAGATTCTGTTGCATGGATGTAATTTCTTTAAACTTATCCTGCATTGTTGGACATTTTTATTTTTCATTTTTCTGCTCCTAGAAACTGTATTACAGAGAATGTCTTTGACTCATTTTTTTTAACATATGTGAGAGTTTATCTCTTGTATAATTCCTGAAGCGCAACTGCCAAATCAAAGGCAGGTTAAATATATATATGTGTATTATATATATATATATATATATTTTTTTTTTTTTGGTAGCTTTTTGACAGATTGTCCTCCAAAGAAGGTTAGGATGGCTCTGTCCTTACTGATCAGGTGGGATAGTGCCTATTCTCTCGCCTTTGTCAGGAATCTGTCACCAGATGGTTTGCTCTTCCTCTGTGTGATTTGCAGGCAGGCCTCTCTCTCTCTCTTTTTTTTTCCCCAGGAATGACATTTGAGTAACAAAACATTGCACGATTGGGCTGCTTTGCTGGTCCTTTTCTTACTGATTTGTAGGAATTGTTCACATATTCTTCTTTGTTAGGTCTACGTTGCACCAGTTTTCTCTCAGTTTTTAGCTTTTTCACATTTCTGAGGTCATGTTTGTATGCTGTTGGGCAGAAGGCTGCATTTTAACGTAGGTGAATTTTATTTTTCTTTCACCTTATGGCTTGTGCTTTTTGTTTTTTAAAAAGATTTTTATTTATTAGAGAGAGAGAGAGAGCACGAGAGGGGGGAGGAGGGTCAGAGGGAGAAGCAGACTCCCCACTGAGCCGGGAGCCCGATGCAGGACTCGATCCCGGGACTCCAGGATCATGACCTGAGCCGAAGGCAGCCGCTTAACCAACTGAGCCACCCAGGCGCCCTAGCTTGTGCTTTTTTATATCTTGTACATCATACCCAAAGGTCATTATTTGCCTGTATTTTCTTCTAAAAAGTTTTGTGGCGTTTAGGTCCTTAATCTATCCAGAATTGGTTTTGGTGTATAGTAGGAGATGGTCAGGTACAATTTTATATTTTTTCCCCATAAAGGTAGCCTAAATCTTTCCTTCTGTCCCCATTGCTGTGTCATTCCAACTCAAATATAAAGTCTTCATGTGTGTGTGGTTACACTGAGTCTAGCATCTGTTGGTGGAACCCTGAGTCCCTGTAATACTGTTGTAATTAGTATCGTTCTATGATAAGTCTTGATTTCCTGGAGGACGGGGGTCGGGGGAGGGCATCAAATCTCCTCTTCTTCTTTAAGGATGTCTTGGCCAGTCTTAGCCCCTTACATTTTCGTATAATATTTTAAAACAACAGAATTAAGTATTTTGGAGAAGCCGCTCATTGGTTCTTGAATAGCACCACCTTTTACTCAGTCCTGTTACCATAGCAGAATTAGGAGGTTGGGGTGTATTTTTTTCCTAGCAGGTTATGTATCAACTTGGAAACATTAACAGGAGAAGGAACTTCCTCCTCCCTGTCCCCTTGGTCACACGTAATGCTTCGGGGTGCTCTGTGTTTGGTCTAGGCCTGCCTTCTGACCTCGAGCCCAGTGTGTCCAACTGCTGGTTAAGACTCTGTACCTTCATGGTTCACACCACAGCCTGTTAGATCAGCAATTTAGAAATCACCCTTGACTTTCTATCCCCTAAATAGTTGCCAGATTTTCTCCTGTCTTTTCCTCAGAGGCACTGTCCTACCTCTAGGGAAGGGAACCTTGTCCCTCACCAGGACCATGATGCTCTTCTCCATCTCTGCTTCCAATCTTGACCCCCTCCCAGCCAGTCTCTGAACAGAGTGATCAGTGATAAAAAATGAAAATTCAGTTATTTCCTTTTTAAAATCCATCCCTGAAAGTTTTCCACCTCTCTCAGGGTAATAGTCAAAGCCCTTCCTGTGACTTCCTTGGCCCGGCAATGTCTGGCCCCCCCGCAGTATCTTTCCAGCTTCATCTTTGAGCCGCAACCTCTCTGTGTTCGTTCATGTTCACTGAGTTCAGAGGCTTTTGTGCAGGACCTGCTGAGTCCCCCAGCTCACCCCACTGCTGCCACCCTCCCCTCATTCACCCCCACTGCTCTGTCACACCCCTTTCTCAGGGAAATCTCTTGCCATCCAGACTTGTTATGGGATATTATTCTCTGTACCTTTTTATTGCAGCTCCTATCACAAGCCTAATGATTTATTCTTGTAGTATTCTGTTTAACTCCTGTTCGTCTGGAGCTTCCTGAGGGCAGAACCCATACCCGGTTTGTTCTCAGTGAGAGAGCGAGGAGACAGATGTCAGCTATCTAAAAGAATTGCTTCTCTGCCTTAAGGAGACAAGACTAATAATTCTTTCTTGAAAAATAGTGATTGAACATGGGCCAGCCTTGTGGTGGAATCAGGAGAGTGCTTGACTTCATCACAACTGCTCTTTTCCTGAAACCACAGTTTCCTCAAGAGCTTGAAAATGTCCAGTCAGATTGGCCCCCTCCTCCTAATAAGCTTCTTTT